AGTAGGGTTAAAAAACTAATTTTTATTGAGCAAAAATATTATAGAACATGTGTGTGACACTTAAATAAAGTTTGGAGTATGGATTTTGTAGATGACAATGAAATACTTGTTGTGGGAAAATAACATTGCTAGCTAACATTTCTAATAGCCTAAAAATGAAACTTGAAATAAAATTCAGCTCGAGACCTAAAAAAATTCTTAAGTCCAATAACAGTATTGCAATACTATGTTGGTGAATTAATTCGGAAAAATTTAGCTAAAGGTCAGTGCTATGTTTTTGCTCCTTATGGTGATGTACCTCCTTCAGCATGGTCAAGGTGGTTTAGCCGCAACCGAGTTGGATTAGTGTTGAGAGACGCTTTAAAATCTGTGCACGAACACAGTCTCGGGCTGCCTGTCCTGTGCGTGCGGTCACCACGCGCAGCCGCTCTGCGTCGCCGTGCCGTGCTCGCCACGCTGGCCAGCTGAGGCCGACGTGGCCTGGCCATGGCTTGGCTACGGTCTGGTTGCGGCTAGCCGCCGTGCCTGTCGCTGGCCGCCTGCCCGGCCAGCTGCTGGCCACTGCGCCCCGACGGCCGTCGCTGCCGCTCTGTCGATCTGCTGCCCCACCTGCTGCCGCACTGCTGCCCTCCCTGCCTCGCACTGTGGCGCAGCCGCTGCCGCTACTGCTCGCCTTGCCATGCACGTGGCCTTGTCCCTGCTGCCAGCGCCGATGCCAGCGCCTCGCCATTTATGGCACTATGGCCGCACATGTCGTGCCCGGTCGTGGGTACGCGCATGTTCCCTTTGGCTGTGATGGCCCGTAGTGCTTGCACGTGTGCCGACTCGCTAGTGGTCAGTCACGTCCCGCCAAGGCAAGGACAAGCTGAGCTCTGACCTACCCCCTCCCCTCTCTCTTCTCTGCTGCCATGGTGGACTGAGCCACGCCATTAAAATAAGCAGGGAGAAGTCACCATCGCCCAATTCGTCGCGTCTCTAGCTCTGCCATCAAGCCGCCTAGCCGACCGCTCCCACCCTGCCTTGAATGGTGCCCGACCGAGCTTCAATTTTGGAGCTTTTCACCACCACCGTGCCGATAAGGCCGAGTTCGCCCATCACTGAGGGTAGCTCCCATCTGACCACCTCGAGCCAAATTGGCTGCATCGCTAGGCTCGCCTCAAACCCCTCTTCGCCCTGTGCGCCTTAGCCGAACCTCTACTGCCTCACCGTCATCGCTGACGCGACCGTGCCGCCGTGGTGCGCCGCCGCACGGCTCGACCACACGTGGCCAGCCCTCCACCGTCGTGCTCTGCTCCAACCGTCGCTTCGGCTTGGTCCATGGTAGCCTCCTGATGCTTGTGCACTAACCAATTAGGGCCCTGATCGCTTTTCTTATAATCCGTCTTTTTCAGCTTGTTTTTTCAGTCGGAACAGTGTTTTCTCTCACAACAAATCAGCGCGGGGGAATTCTAGAAAAGTCAGGGGGTTAAGTGAGAAGATTTGAGAGGGGGGAAATAGTATTGGGGCTTAGGTGTGATTCGGAAGAAAACCAGGGACTCTTTTGCAAAAACACCAGCGTGCGGGCTTCCCCACCGTGGGCCGGCCTCACATGGGCCGCGGAAGCGGGCCGCTGCGCGCGTGCCGCGTCGCGTGGGCCGCGTGGGAGATTGTTTTTTCTTTTTCTTAGAATTTGTGAATGTTTTCTAATTTAATTCTGAGCTGATCTTTGGTAATTAATATAAATTCATGTAGGTGTTCAAAAATTGCGAAACAAATTTTGTTAGATTCCTAAAATTGTGATTTACCTGTTGGTGTATTTAGTTTATGTTTATATGTGTTGACACTAGGAGCTATTAAATCATTTGAAAGTGCTTCATAATATTAAGTTAATTATTGTAGGATTTTTTGTGGTGAATTGATGATAGTTTTGATCCTGAAATTTTTACAGCGGTTTCATTGTATTATTATGTGCTCACTATAATTTTTGTAGCTTTAGAACAGACTAAGTATTAGGGTAGTTAAATGCTCTTTGTTTTAATATACATTAAATCACTAGTAGAAATAAAGATATATCCTTAAATTGGCAAGCTAAGGGTTTGTTAGTTGAACCCAACACTTTGCTTGATGAAAATGATAGTTAGATTAGTATCTTAGTCATTAGAGCTATCTTAGTAGCTTAGTATGTGTATTCTTATTTTAAGAGTTGTTGTTGCCTAAATGCTAAGTGTTGCATCATCTTCGCATGCATGTAGAGAACGAGTTGGTGGAAATCGTGACCACTGGCGATCACGAGTTCAAAGAGATCGTCGAGGAGTACGAGGAGGAGATTCTCGTGCAGGAGAAGGTCCCGGAGCCGCCACTGACTGACTCAGCTGACACCGCGCCTACCCAAGGCAAGCCTCAGTGCATAACCTCTATTTTATAATTCACCGTATATATATGTGTTGTGTATTTATGTTATAGGAATTTTATGGAAACCACATGCATAGATATACCTATCCTAAGAGTATTACTAGTACAGATTCGAGTAGATGCTATGCTTAGGTCATCGACAGCGTGAGTAACCTGCCGTTGCTCATAATAGGAGATCATTATTACTCTCATAATAAAATGATGAAAGAAAAAATAGAGACAGGGCACGGATATGGTATGGGTATTGGTGGGTGTAACAGGTTGTGTCCCGCGACCAACGGGGCTTAGCTCGGTTACACTATTTTACCTTTTCGTGTTGATTAAGGATCGTCCGTTGCTGTGGATGGTAGTCAGGTCACAGACTTATTATCTTGAGCACATACTTGATTGTGGGAGCGGGAAGACTCGTTACGCTCTTGTCGTGAGTTTCAGCTCTTTCCGGAGCAACTGATTGGAGACGGGGAAGGGTGGAGGTCTGAGCACCATGTTGAGACCGGGTCTCAAGTGTGGGGGCTTGGAGTCCAAGTTTGGATGAGGATCTGGACTCCGTGATAGGAGTGGAATTGGTTGGTCTTATTTGTGCCTGGGGTAGAAACGGGACATGTGTTTCGGGGTACCCAGCTGGGATGCATTGGTTCGCGAATCGCCGTTTCCGTGAGATGGTATGACTTGGCTATGGTCTAGCACCGTAGTAAAAATTGGAAGATGAAAGATGGTGAAATGGTTCTAATTGCTTAACCCTTGCTTGAAAGTTGAATAGGTGCTTACCTAGAATGGTTAGCTAATGAAGTAATCATGACCGCTAATAAAACTTGACTGTAAGGATGAACTATTAGTAATGCTTTCCGCAAACAAAAAGAAAACAATAAACCCATATTGCCTATCATATCCTTGAGAGTCAGGAAACTATTCCCACTAGTCGGGTAAGTCTTGGGAGTACATTGTGTACTCAGGGCTTATTTTACCTCTGTTGCAGGTGCAGCTTGAGGAGTAGCTCTTGTGTGGAGGATTTTTCTGGTGGGCACAAACAGATCCTTGTATCGTTTTCGCTAAATGTTTATTTTCATTCTGCTGTTTAATTATCGCACTCTGAACTCTGGTATTGTAATAAATAATTTTCAAGAACTCTTGTTGTATGAAATGGACTAAGTATTGTAAGCTTATACTCATTATTGGATTATGGATGTAAAACGTGGGTTGTTTCGAGTTCTCTCTTGGGGTGTGCTCGATGGAACTGTCCGATGTAGCTCACTTTTGAGGTGCTTAGTGTCTAGTGGAAGACGAGTGCCTCCGAAATCGTGTTATTTCGGGCGGTTCTGCCATAGTGGCACTCTAGTCTTGCTCACCAACATAGGGAAACTTGCCGACGTCCATGCCCTGATGGGGTCCCTACCTGATGAGAGGTTTGATTGTTCCTTTGCTAGTTTGTCCGAAAACTAGTTGTTATTTATCAAGTAAAGCATGATAGTTATCCTTGCGGTTTTGCTCATAAATCTAGCCATCATTCACTGTGAAAGTGTGATAGTTACGTACCTTTTCTTGGGCGAAACCCAATGCAAGTGGCTAGGACAATTCCTAGAATTGGCTAAGCCGGTTTCAGTAGGATCATGCCATCTCAATCTGTTTGTGATCCGAGCGTTCTAGCTCTTTGTAGTATGGGACCATACTCGTGTCAACATTAATTTTTAGGAAAATGCTTATTCAGTGCCCCCTCATGGCCATATCAGTTGGTTGGCAAGAGTATTTGGAGAACATATTTGACATAGCAATATTCAACTGAAACCCAAAGTCACACAGGCAAGGATTTCGACATCTAGCTTGTTTGTCATGATTTGAGATTACCCACCCAATATTCGATCGGCCGTGAAAGAATGGAGTTTGATGCTTGTGAATTCTTTAGGTGCCCTTGCTATTTTGCATTTTCTTCCCTTTCTGCATAGGACAACAGAGTTTGAAGAATTATTAGGATCCTTGACCATTTTCTGTTACGATTTTTATATAAAACATACAGACACCAACCAAGAATGAAAGGGGGAGGAGAAATTCTAATTCCACTACGTTTTCTATACGAGCTCTTACTAAACTCTTGACCTTATTTGGACCGGAATATATATACATGAGAGTCCTACATTGTAATCATCAATATTCAGAGAAAGAGAGTTCCCCTACTTTGCGCCTTTGCGCCCTTCTACTTACATCAACTATGTTGATCCTGATAGATGAAGAGACGAGAGAGAGAAAGGTTTTAACCATTGACGATGTGTTTTTACAACAGTGATGATAAAAAAGAACGATGTTTTAGAAAAAATAAAACAAAAAGGAACGATAGTCTCCTTGTGGACCTTCTGAAGGCTATGTATATGTATTGTGCACAATCTATTTATTCCATGAGATGCATGATACAACAGTACATCACATCGATCAGCCCAGCAAATCGATGTTTCCAACTACGCACACAAAGCGTGCGTGCACCTTCTTATTTTTATTTCATTCATGACGATGATGGAACCAAACTTTTATTGAGACTATACGCAGGACGAACGTACAACTATACGTGTGTGCCTGCTGCCCATCGCCGGACATAGTACGTACGTAGCAGCAACTGATGATCAGTTGTGGACCTCGACGAGCTCAGGGCAGTACATGGGCTCCGGTGTCTGGTCGGGGTGTGAGCAGCACCGGCAACCGCCATGGTACCCGCGGTTGCAGCAACCCCATCGGCAGTGGCCACCAGGGTAGCCTCCCCCGCCGTGCCAGCCGCCGCCGCCACCCGGGTAGCCGCCACCGCCGCGCCAGTCCTGGACCTCCGCCTTCTTCTCCTCTTTGGTCGCCCCTACCACAGCCCAACACATAGTACATGTACTTGATAGAAAGTGTAGGATCAACTAGGCATAGATCTAGCAGGTATAACTTGACTAGAACATGGCGAACAAACCCTAAAATATGAACTACGAGATCTAGATGGAGAAAAAGGGAGAGGGGCAGTGGTCTCTGACCGTCGAAGGGTTTGGTGGAGCTGCTGGAGCCGTCCATCACGTCGGTGATGTTGCCGGAGGGCGTCGGGTGATGTAGCGGTCGTAGGTACGGTCAAGTGGCGGCGGCGAACCTCGTGGTGGTGCTTCCCATCACTGGCTGCACACCCTCTCTAAATCGGTGTTAGGGTTTTGTCGGTGAGAACTGTAGCTCGGTGAACCTCGTTCAGAGAGCCGCCGGCCCCACCTCTCTTTATAGCGCAGTGTGACGGGGGCCCACCAACCATGTAGGGTTGGGCGCCCCCGATCAGGGCGCGAGGTCAAGGCCTAACTCGACCGTTGGGCTAAGCTGGTGAGATCACCACTAACAATACTTAGTATTTGGGTGGATATATGACCTGGCGAGTTAGCTTTTAATCAATCTGTTGCTTGAATGAAAGCTTGCAAGTTAATTATTACTATTAGCTACAGTGCACGCATGAAATTGAATGAACTCACGGGCTTGCTCGTTAGCGGAGGCGACGAGGAAAGTGGCGGCGAGCAGGAGCTCTAACACGAGGAGCGCCTTGGACGCCATGATTGATGCTATCGATCTCGGTCTCTTTCTCTCCAAACCGCAACTGTGGAAAGCTAGCTGCGACTGCGAGCTGATGAGTGTGAGATGTGCATGCGAGCCCAGCGTTTTCATAGGCGGGCTAGAGCGAGGTGCGGTGGCCAACTGCCGATCGATCGAGGTCGAGGTCCGTGGCCTGGGCGCCTGGACAGTGATCGAGATCGTCTCGTCGGCATGCAATGCAGCCGTGTAGGTTTGGGCCCCATGCACGCAGGTGCAGGGTGCAGCTACACATGATCAATGAGACGTTAGCAGTTGGGAGGTGGATTGCATTAACGTGCATGAGTGCAAATGTGCAATCACGACTTTGCCGTGTACCACAGGCACTCGGTAAAGACAAAAAACACTCGGCAAAAGATTTATCGAGTGTAACACTCGGTAAACAGCACACAACATCTACAGTGTCGGCAAACGTCTCTTTGCCGAGTGTTTTCTATCAGGCACTCGGCAAACACTTTGTCGAGAGCTGAAACCGACGCTCGGCGAAAAAAAGTAACGCGACGGCAGCGAAGACGATGACGGCGCGTTTGCCGAGTGTCCCGGACCTGACACTCGACAAACCTGAATTCTTTGCCGAGTGTCCCATAGCTGACACTCGGCAAACATGTCTTATTTGCCGAGTGTCAAATCCCGAGCACTCGGCAATGTCCAGTATTTGACACTCGGCAGAGACTGGCCCAAAACGTACAAATGTTGGCTTCTTTACCGAGTATCACAACACAGACACTCAGCAAAGAAGCCATTTTAGTCCCTAGAATGCACAGATTTTGGCTGCGTGTCCTCTTTGCCGAGTGTTTTTAGCCTGGCACTTGATAAAATGCCTCTTTGCCGAGTGTAACACTCGGCAAAGCGACCATATATTCCCTGTTTTTATTGTTCAGTCACGTATAACGTACCCCACTCAAATAAGCATTATAGACATCACACATAAGTCACAATAAGCATCACAGGCAGTTCATATAGATATATCGACAACACATAAATGCAAATAAACTTGAGAATCACAAATAGGTTCATTCACAACCACAAATAGTCACAAGTAGTCACAGGTAATCCACTAATGCAAATGTAAATAAAATCACAAGTAGTCACTTAGGCCACGAGTTCCACTGTGACCACGCTGGGTCATGAGGCTCATTCGATGCCGCCGATTGATGCTGCACAAAGGAAAAGAGATTGCATGTATGAGACAAGATTGAACAACACGTATGGTCTCTCAGTTGCATTGTGCTCTAGTATGATTACTTAAGTACTAGTTGGTACCAAACATATAGTATTAGTCACTAAGTTTCTAGTGTCTGGGTATCTTTGTAAAATTGATTCCGTATAAACTAGAAACAGTGATTATAAGGTTGTAAAGCGACTCACAGTGCCTGAAATAGTATTTGGCGGAGGTTGAGGAGGAGGGACTGGCATCGATGGCGGAGGTTGACCGATTGCAGCGTAAACACCCCTCATATATTCAAACATATGTAGCTCCATCCTCTGCCACTCTGCCTCCATCCTCTGCCGCTCTACCTCCATCCTCTACCGCTCTGCCTCCATCCTTGCCTCTAGCTCCTCTCGATGCCTCGTTTCTTGTTCCAGCTGAGCCTACAATATTTCATCACAATGTTACAATGCAATGCAAAAGTATGTAAAAATCAATGAACGATGAATAAAACAGAAATAACCTGGAATGCGTTCATCTGGAACCGTGTAGAGTCCGGCCGTGGGCGTATCGCCGGACTAGAACCGGTGCTCCGTGCTCGAATCTAGGAGAGAGTGGGAGTACTGGCCATGTCGATTGTGCCGTCGCCAATCCAGAATCAACCACGCTTCTTGCCTCCTCCCGCCCTCATGACCACTTCTCCATCAAGGTCATAGGTGCTCGGATCGTACTCTTGGGCATGCACCGCCCTTGCCATTGATGTGTATCCATCGAGGCGGCTGTGGACGGACTTGTTGCTGTACGCCGAGGGCGGGCGCTCCAGGTTGTAGGCGACATCGGACGTCGCCTTGCCCTTGTGGGCCAAAGCATATGCCATGAACTGGGAGCATTGCTCGCCACCATGTGCCGCCGACTACAAAAAAAGCAATATGATTAGAAATTATGGAGAGTTGAGCGTTAGAATAAAGAAATAAATTAGCGTACCCATCTAGCCGCGTATTCTGAGAGGTTGAGGTTGCCTTGATGGTGTGGTGCACCCGGCATTAGCAAACGCCACTCCCGGCAAGCATTGTGATTCTCCTCCCACGCGGGGTCGCACCACATATCCACCATCTAGGCCCAGCACTGTAGATTGTAAGCGCACCACCACAGAGGCACCTACGTCATCAAATATATGACATATAAGAAGATGAAATTAAGCGTAATTAATCTCAGAAAAATAAGTATTAATATTCTATATTTACCTTCAGGTATTGTTTTGAGGTTAGCCTCATGGTTCTTGTCGCACTTTTAGTGACCCTCTCTCTAAGAATTTCCACGTGGTATTGGATCATGGCCTAGATGCGCGCCTCATAGTGCATGTCCTTCATGAGTTTCTTGGTGGCTTTGTCAGCCACAGCATCCGCCTTAGCCTCGTATCCCTCCTCGCATCTAAAGAAATCCTGCATATAGACGCGATGTATCTAGTCATTATTTCAAGAATGTCCAATCAATGCTATGTATTGAGCAATGTAGTGTGAGAAAGACTTACCCAAAGCTCGGCCTTGACACGCTGCGCCTTGTAGGCGAATACCCTGCCGTCCCGATCAGGGGCGTCAGGGACAGCGGCATAGTGGGCCCACGTGTAGGCTGGCTCAATAGTTCCGCCGAACTGCACCAGGCCAGGGAACTTTTCCTTGATCAAAACACCAAGGATGCCGTTCACATGGCATGCGTGATCATCCCCACCGACCTTCCTCCAACCTTTGCTCAAGTGATTAAGATAAATTATTAGTTTCTATTGTAATTTTGAACATATCAAACGAAAATTTAGTGATAACATCTAAAGTTATTTACTTGTCTCCATCGGGTCAAATCAGCGGGCGTCTCTCAAGAGGTATCGGTCGCCTCAGGAGGGTCGAGGGACCTCGCAACCACACATGCGATGAAGTAGAGGAAGAGGTACCCCATGTCTCCTCTACCCCTGCCTCCTCCTCCACCCCTGCCTCCTCCTCCTCCACCCGTGCCTCCTCCTCCACCTGTACCTCCTCCTCCTCAGAGGATGAGTGAGCGGAAGGTAACTCAGACGGTGACGAAGGTACAGGCGACGGTGGCCTTGTCTTGCCTCCACCCTTCCCTCGACCCCTGGGTCTACCCTCGAGGTCTCTTTCCGGATCCCTCAGCTGAATCGGACCCTTTACGCATCGCTGTCGCTTTTGAGTAAAGCGACGCTATCCTCTTTATACCGCCCACCATTGTTCAATCACCTGCAAATAAAAAAAGTAAACCAATTAGCACATATAATACATTAAAATAGATGCAAAATAAATAAAACATACTTAGAAAATAACATGGTATGACAAATAATAAATCAATTAGCACGGATCATACATGTATTAGAAATAATCATCATGATCGGGATTAGCTGGATCATAAGTCTCATCATCACTATCATGCATGTCAATATAATCATCCCCTGCTCCGAAGGAGGAATGTCGTCATCACCATCGTTGCTTAGATGTAATCATTGAAGTAATTCTAAGTCCTTCACATTCTAAACCTCGTCTCCGGTGTCCTCGTCAGCACCACTTTCATTGTCTACTTCCATACCCTGAGCTTCAGTTAAGTCTATCTCAAAACTCCCTTCGATCCCATCTTCTTGAAAGAACTCTCTGTCATATGTGTTAGGGTCTATGTTGTAATCTTGATTGTTTGGGACAGGTAGTTTACCGTGTGGCGATACCTTGTACACAACATCCCAACCCTTAAGACGGTCTACAATTTGACATGGGTATGAGAGATAATAAACTTGTGTGGCCTATTGAGCCACAATATAGACATCATCTCCTGGTAAGACGGATGATTATCGAATTTCGACTAGCCCAAGATTAGGGGTCCGCCTCACTACTTTAGGATCAAACCAATGGCATTTGAATATAACGGGATTAAGAGGTTTGCAATCATGAAACATGAGTTCGTATATTTCTTCAATTCTTCCATAATACTCAACCCCATCTAAGCCTTGTGTAAAAACTCTGGTATTTGTGGTTCTTCGATTGGGCCGACTCAGCTCATGGCTTGTTGTATGAAAGCGATATCCATTCACGTCATAATCGGTAAATGACCTGACCCTATAGGCACAACCATCGGCAACCTGTCTCAACTCGGCACTCGTAGACGCATCAGTTTGTCCCTACAAGTTCAAGCAGGATAGTTCGTTATATTAGTCGCACGTATGAGCAACTTGAAATGTCAAACTAAGTACGAGCCAAATTGGACAGTACCTTCTGTTTGAACCAAGAAATGAAATCGGGCATTCCATTTCCCGCACCCTCTCTAAGAAGGCTCAAAGTTTCCTACAGGGTAAGTTCCCTTGATTCATGCCAGAATTGTTCATGAAATTCCTTGTACCAATGAGAAACAAGGGAGTTGCACACAGAATTGTGACTACTTGAGAAAAAGTTTGTTCAGAACTTACAGCATGTACGGCTCCACTTCGGATAGGTTGGTCAACACATATAGCATAATAGTGCGCCACTCTTCGTGTTTCAAGGTCTTGTTAGTCGCACCACTTGCACTTCCTAGTTGCCCTCGGAAAATGCTAAGGTTCGATTCATCTTTGCCAGCATTGTAACAAGGGGGTGGATTATGCACGCTAGGAAGGTTGTTAGCATAGTATTTTGTTGTGAAGTTTGACACCTCTAGAATGTATGTCTCTGCTATGGATGCTTCAATTTTGTATTTATTTTTACATTTAGTTCGAAGAACCTTTTGAAATCTCTCAATTGAATAGCACCAACGGCCCTGCATAGGCCCCCCCATTCGTGCCTCATAC